CATAAATGTTACTTTGCTCACACTCCAAAGTAACATGGTGGAAAAAACAAGGTTATGTCCCCAACACTTCAAGTCAGGCAAGTTTACGTTTTAATTCTGACAATTGTTAAAAACTAATATGACTGTATTTAAATGTAGTGAGGTGTACAAAATTAAAATACTCTTTCTTACCTTAAACTCTGGTTGCTGGTGTATGTTGATGATATTGAAAGGTCTGGAAAGGGTTGGTGTGGTGCTATGAGTTCTGAAGTGGATAGCTGTAGTTCTTGAGCTGTAGTTTATGAGTTGATGTCGATGCAGTTGTCGGTAGATGATGGTCGTACTTGAATGCAGAGCTATTCTGTGATGCATACTTGGTCTGTTTTATGCTACAGTACTTTATATAGGTGATAAATCATAACTGCCTGCTTCACACAGTGCTACAATTGTTAGTATCTTTTTCAGTAAATTATTATTATACAGTCTCTCCTCACTTAGCAATGTACTTGTTTACAAACGACTTACTTACAATGGGCTCTCTGATCAGTATGCATGCCTAAATAATGTATATTAGAGCTGATTTCCTCTACTCTGTTTATTACAATATACAGTATATTACCGTATAAACATTTAAAAATATACTAAAAACATTATAAATGGTGCAAAGGCGACATTAAAACATTATCAAAGATGGTTGACATAAACCCACTACCATTATGGTATGCTCCTTGCTCAGCGATGAATTCATTTACCAACATGGTTTTAGGAACTGAACTTTTATCGTTAAGTGAGGAGAGGCTGTAATAAAAAAAGAAGTGCTAAACCTGCATGGAAGGGTCATACAGCACAACCTTTTCAGTAAAAATGTATGCAGTTTTACCAGAAGCATGTAAATGCTCATATAAGTGTTACAGTGTCAGTTCTTTATTTTGTCCATTTCCGTTATCTGCCTCCTGTCTATCTGCCAATTGAGCTTCTACATTTCTCGAGGTTTGTTTTTTGTCATCCTCCTCTAAGAGTTCATTGTGTATTGTTTCATTTATAGATGTTTTCTGCCTGAATATTTTCAAAGCCCACACCTCACACTGTCCTTGACAGATCACAGTATCAGGGATCTGACTGTTTATTAAAGGGAAAACCTGAACAAATTATTCAACTCCATTTTTGTGGATTGAGGCACCTCATTCCAACTTTTGTGTTCGATATCGCATGTGCAATGTTCAATTTATGCCAGTACTGTGGCACTCCAGTGTCTGCACTGTCATCCATATCTGTGCAAAGTTTCTGCACCGCCTTTTAGGTGTAGTTACACTTAAATATCTAAATCACACTTCAATCCAGAGGTCGTATCAATGATGTTGCATTTGATGGCAAAAAAAACTCAACCATACCAGTAGGCTAATTCCCCAGTAGAGGGAAAAGATCATGAGGTGTGGCATAGATGGTTGTCCTCCTGTGTTACTTGAAAATGAATCTCAAAAATCTGTGTGCATATATATGTATGTACGTATACTGATAACATGCAAAAATATATTCAAAGATAAAAGCACCTCCATATGTAAATAAATTTGAGAGCCATTACTATATGCATTGTTAAAAAACATGTCTCTTTGAAAACTCTCAGTACAAAGTAAAACTATTACTAAAACATGCAGATTAGGCATACATAGCCTGCAAAAATAAACAATAAATAGAAGATAGCCAAAGTAACATACCCAGCCACCCTTTTATAAGCACTGTAATGCTTAATTAAGCAATTAATTTTAATGTGGGGCGAGTAAAAATTTCAAATAAAAGTACAGTATTTACAGCACTGGAACTTATGAAAGCAGTAGTGAACATGAGTGAGACAAGGTGGGGAAAGGCTTGAAATTAGATACAACATACAAATAAAAACAATATGAAAGACAGACAATGAGGGGAAATATATGGGAGAAAATAGTTTTCAGCTTAATACTGACAGTAGTGTACAGGAGAAATTGGAAAATGAGGAAGATAACAGCAGGCTGCCGAGTAACATTCACTCAGGTTACTTGGGTGAATGTTACTCTCAGAGCGAATGTTACTGCTACAGAGAACGAGGATCACAAAGCAATGGGTAGGTTATAAATACATATCAATTACACATGATCTTGTGTGGGGGGGGGAGAAGTCTCAGCCAATATGGTCAACTGCACTGACAAACCACTATCACTCAACCACAAATATAGACACCAGTGCCTGCCACAAATTGCAACAGCCTGACTGACCATGCCATCAACCAGGATATGTGACTGGAAGATGGAACATAGGGGCAATGACCCCCAAATTATTTTTATATTCATGGAAAGTGCTAAACCCATAATGTTTCCTGAAACCATTACTTGGCTGACAACAAGTACACATCCCCAATAGGATATTACTGACAGCATTCAAAACAAAGAAAATACTTTAAATAGTTAGAAATAATGGCAAGCTGTAAAAAATGATGAGTGTACTTTAAAGAACAAGCCTTTTAGATTATTGTCTTACAATTATGGCATTTCCTACTGTCAAAAAAAAGGTTATAATAAAAAAGGTAATGAAAAACTGCTGTAAATGTTTATTACACTGGAAAACATAACACAATCTCCTTGTCAATCCTGTATATTCAAAATTATTAAGACTGCACAATTTGGTGGAATTTTTAAACTATAAAATAAACACATACTAAATATATGTATATTAACAAAATATAAGACAAATACTTAAAATGTTGAATGACAATATTCACACATAAACAATAATGTACCATCCTTTCAATACACTTCGTAATAGAAACAGACCTTTTACATTCTCTGATATCAATGCTTCTCACTCTCAAGCAGAATTTCAACAAACATGAACAAGAGATTTTAGTACAATGGTTGAGAGTACCAAATGAATACATGATTTTTCCTTTGACATTTTGGTACACTCATTCACAATGCTCATTAAATATATGACTGCTTCAACATTTCAATACTTTGCCGCACATTTCAGTACATTTGTTCAGGTACCTATTAAATGCACGACTATGCTGGAACATTTTAGTACTCTGGCTCACAGTACCCATTAAATATAATGCTCTGCTTCAAATTTTTATATACAAGGCAAAACTGTCTGAATATAGTGGCATGACCCTTGTGGGTTTAGCACTTAATTGCAATAATAATAATGAACATCAAAATGGTATACAATACCGACAGGTTGTTAGGTTAGACACATATGCAACAGTTAGACAACTTCATTCCGAAACGTTTCGCCTATACAGTAGGCTTCTTCAGTCGAATACAGAAAGTAGGCAGGAACAGTAGAGATGTGAAGACGATGTAATCAGTCCATCACCCTTAAAGCCGTACAATTTGAGGTTGTCAGTCCCTCAGCCTGGAGAAGTTCAGTTAGTTCAGATAGTTCCTGATTATGGAACTGAACTTCTCCAGGCTGAGGGACTGACAACCTCAAATTGTACGGCTTTAAGGGTGATGGACTGATTACATCGTCTTCACATCTCTACTGTTCCTGCCTACTTTCTGTATTCGACTGAAGAAGCCTAATGTGTAGGCGAAACGTTTCGGAATGAAGTTGTCTAACTGTTGCATATGTGTCTAACCTAACAATAATAATAATGTCTGAATATAATGCGTACTATGTATTCAATAAAGTAAAACAGTCCAGTAAAAGCATCTTCCATAACACAATATATTCCCTTCAAAACTAGTGCTACACAATAGAAAAATAAAATACTGTAATGTAATGTTAAGATGCAATGACTTATTTCCAATGAGAAATATTCCAAGATGTAAAACAAATACCTATAACTCAAAATTTTATTTTTACTTCAATCAGAGGGGCATTAAACATATTGAAAAAACAGATTCACATAGTACAATACTTTGTATAACATTCAATGTGTATTGCCTCTCTATCTTCCACATTATATATGCAGGAATTATTATGATGTTGAGTTTACCAGAGGTTCACAAACCACAAGAAAAAGGCAAGGGAGATAAAATATGGAAAACAAATAACGTTTAATTAGTATATATAAAATGTGCTACTGGTCGGTCAGTCGGTCAGACAGACGGTCAGTAAGACTGACAGTTGGCTGGACGGTCGGTCGGTCAGTCAGTCGGTCAGTTGGATGAACAGTCAGTCTGCTGGTCTGTGTCTGTGTATGTATGTATGTATGTATGTATGTATGTATGTATGTATGTGTGTGTGTGTGTGTGTGTGTGTGTGTGTGTGTGTGCATGCGTGTGCGTGCGTGCGTGCGCGTGCGTGCGTGCGTGCGTGCGCATCGTGCTAAATAGGTAAAACTTGCAATTTTGGCTTAAATAGCAACACTTTGATTGTCGAATAAAGCAAGCAAAAATTTGTGTATGCAATAATTTTGCAAAAATCATTCTGAACCTAACGAAAAAATATACAGTGGTACCCTGAGTTTTGTACAGCTCCCAACTCAAATAATTATGTAAGTGTATTATTGTAAGTGCTTTTGTAAGTGTATTTTTTGGGGTCTGAAATGGACTAATCTAATTTACATTATTCCTTATGGGAACAAATTCGTTCGGTAACGGCAATCAAACAGCCTTCTGGCACGAATTATAGCCAAAACTCAGGGTACCACTGCATTTCATTGTGTTTGTTAATTAATAAATTATTGTAAACTTATCCAAAATATATTTAGTTGGATTGGGCACTTGTTATAATAAGGTTAGGTACAAAATCACTAATTTTTATATTAACATAAATGTAAAAATTATCTTTAAATGTATAAGAGAAAATTTTAGAACGTACGTAATTTTAAACGAGTTCATGCTAATTGACCAGTTTTACCTACTCAGCATGGCATTATACATGTGTATGTGTGTGGATGCATATGTATGTATGTATGTGTGTGTACATATATATATATATATATATATATATATATATATATATATATATATATATATATATATATTATATATATATATATATTATATAATATATATATATAATATATTATGTATATAGTGCCGAATAGGCAGAACTTGTGATCTTGGCTTAAATAGCAACGCTCATCTTGCCATATAGGACAAGTGAAAATTTGTGTATGCAATAATTTCGCCAAAATCATTCTGAACCTAACGAAAAAAATATATTACACTGTGTTTGTTTAGTATTAAATTATTGTAAACAAATCTAAAATATATTTAGTTGGGTTAGGCTAAAATAAATTGTTCTTGTTATAATAAGGTTAGGTAAGTTTTCTAAGTCCTTTTGGTGCAAAATTATAAATTTTTACATCAACATTAATGAAAAAAATATATCTTTAAACTCATAAGAGAAAATTTCAGAAAGGACTTAATTTTAAATGAGCTCTTGCTAATTGGCCAGTTTTACATATTCGGCACGACATATATATATATATTTTTTTCAACAAGTCGGCCGTCTCCCACCGAGGCAGGGTGACCCAAAAAGAAAGAAAATCCCCAAAAAGAAAATACTTTCATCATCATTCAAAATTTTCACCTCACTCACACATAATCACTGTTTTTGCAGAGGTGCTCAGAACACAACAGTTTAGAAGCATATACGTATAAAGATACACAACACATCCCTCCAAACTGCTAATAATAATGTGGATTATGTGGAGTAAAATAAAGGTTGGATGTGAAAAGTGGGTTATAGTAAGCGTATATGCACCTGGAGAAGAAAGAAGTGTAGAGGAGAGAGAGAGATTTAGGGAAATGTTGAGTTAAGCGTGGGGAGTTTTGAACCAAGTGTGAGAGTACTTGTGGTTGGGGATTTCAATGCTAAAGTGGGTAAAAATGTTGTGGAGGGAGTAGTAGGTAAATTTGGGGTGCCAGGGGTAAATGTAAATGGGGAGCCTTTAATTGAGTTATGCGTAAAAAGAGATATGGTAATAAGTAACACATATTTTATGAAAAAGAGGATAAATAAATATACAAGGTATGATGTAGCATGTAATGAAAGTAGTTTGTTAGATTATGTATTGGTGGATAAAAGGTTGATGGGTAGGCTCCAGGATATACATGTTTATAGAGGTTCAACTGATATATCAGATCATTATTTAGTTGTAGCTACAGTTAGAGTACGAGGTAGATGGGAAAAGAGGAAGGTGGCAACAAGTAGGAGGGAAGTGAAAGTGTATAAACTAAGGGAGGAGGAAGTTCGGGTGAGATATAATCGACTATTGGCAGAAAGGTGGGCTAGTGCAAAGATGAGTAGTGGGGACGTTGAAGAGGGTTGGACGAGTTTTAAAAATGCAGTATTAGAATGTGGGGCAGAAGTTTGTGGTTATAGGAGGGTGGGGGCAGGGGGAAAGAGGAGTGATTGGTGGAATGATGAAGTAAAGGGTGTGATAAAAGAGAAAAAGTTAGCTTATGAGAGGTTTTTACAAAGCAGAAGTGTTATAAGAAGAGCAGAGTATATGGAGAGTAAAAGAAAGGTGAAGAGAGTGGTGAGAGAGTGCAAAAGGAGAGCAGATGATAGAGTGGGAGAGGCACTGTCAAGAAATTTTAATGAAAATAAGAAAAAATTTTGGAATGAGTTAAACAAGTTAAGAAAGCCTAGGGAGCGTATGGATTTGTCAGTTAAAAACAGAGTAGGGGAGTTAGTAGATGGGGAGAGGGAGTTAGGTAGATGGCGAGAATATTTTGAGGAACTTTTAAATGTTGAGGAAGAAAGGGAGGCGGTAATTTCATGCACTGGACAGGGAGGTATACCATCTTTTAGGAGTGAAGAAGAGCAGAATGTAAGTGTGGGGGAGGTACGTGAGGCATTACATAGAATGAAAGGGGGTAAAGTAGCTGGAACTGATGAGATCATGACAGAAATGTTAAAAGCAGGGGGAGATATAGTGTTGGAGAGGTTGGTACTTTTGTTTAATAAATGTATGAAAGAGGGGAAGGTACCTAGGGATTGGCGGAGAGCTTGTATAGTCCCTTTATATAAAGGGAAGGGGGACAAAAGAGATTGTAAAAATTATAGAAGAATAAGTTTACTGAGTATACCAGGAAAAGTGTACGGTAGGGTTATTATTGAAAGAATTAGAGGCAAGACAGAATGTAGGATTACGGATGAGCAAGGAGGTTTCAGAGTGGGTAGGGGATGTGTAGATCAAGTGTTTACATTGAAGCAAATATGTGAACAGTATTTAGATAAAGGTAGGGAAGTTTTTATTGCATTTATGGATTTAGAAAAGGCATATGATAGAGTGGATAGGGGAGCAATGTGGCAGATGTTGCAAGTATATATGGAATAGGTGGTAAGTTACTAAATGCTGTAAAGAGTTTTTATGAGGATAGTGAGGCTCAGGTTAGGGTGTGTAGAAGAGAGGGAGACTACTTCCCGGTAAAAGTAGGTCTTAGACAGGGATGTGTAATGTCACCATGGTTGTTTAATATATTTATAGATGGGTTGTAAAAGAAGTAAATGCTAGGGTGTTCGGGAGAGGGGTGGGATTAAATTATGGGTAATCAAATTCAAAATGGGAATTGACACAGTTACTTTTTGCTGATGATACTGTGCTTATGGGAGATTCTAAAGAAAAATTGCAAAGGTTAGTGGACGAGTTTGGGAATGTGTGTAAAGGTAGAAAGTTGAAAGTGAACATAGAAAAGAGTAAGGTGATGAGGGTATCAAATGATTTAGATAAAGAAAAATTGGATATCAAATTGGGGAGTAGGAGTATGGAAGAAGTGAATGTTTTCAGATACTTGGGAGTTGAAGTGTCGGCGGATGGATTTATGAAGGGTGAGGTTAATCATAGAATTGATGAGGGAAAAAAGGTGAGTGGTGCGTTGAGGTATATGTGGAGTCGAAAAAACATTATCTATGGAGGCAAAGAAGGGAATGTATGAAAGTATAGTAGTACCAACACTCTTATATGGATGTGAAGCTTGGGTGGTAAATGCAGCAGCGAGGAGACGGTTGGAGGCAGTGGAGATGTCCTGTCTAAGGGCAATGTGTGGTGTAAATATTATGCAGAAAATTCGCAGTGTGGAAATTAGGAAAAGGTGTGGAGTTAATAAAAGTATTAGTCAGAGGGCAGAAGAGTGGTTGTTGTGGTGGGTTGGTCATTTAGAGAGAATGGATCAAAGTAGAATGACATGGAAAGCACATAAATCTACAGGGGAAGGAAGGCGGGGTAGGGGTTGTCCTCGAAAGGGTTGGAGAGAGGGGGTAAAGGTGGTTTTGTGGGCGAGGGGCTTGGACTTCCAGCAAGCGTGCGTGAGCGTGTTAGATAGGAGTGAATGGAGACGAATGGTACTTGGGACCTGACGATCTGTTGGAGTGTGAGCAGGGTAATATTTAGTGAAGGGATTCAGGGAAACCGGTTATTTTCATATAGTCGGACTGGAGTCCTGGAAATGGGAAGTACAATGCCTGCACTTTAAAGGAGGGGTTAGGGATATTGGCAGTTTGGAGGGATATGTTGTGTATCTTTATACATATATGTTTCTAAACTGTTGTATTCTGAGCACCTTTGCAAAAACAGTGATAATGTGTGAGTGTGGTGAAAGTGTTGGATGATGATGAAAGTATTTTCTTTTTGGGGATTTTCTTTCTTTTTTGGGTCACCCTGCCTCGGTGGGAGACGACCGACTTGTTGAAAAAAAAAATATATATATATATATTTATTTATTTGATAGTGCTTAGCAGATATTTAACAAATGTTTTGTTCAAATAAAAAAATTCTTGAACTAAACACTTTACTAAACTGAAAGACTAAAATAACAAGATATACAGTACAAGGAACTTCATTTTGCAATATCATTAATTTTATTACATGTGACTGTTAAAATACTTCAGTATTATAGCACAGCAATAATTTAAACTTGGTCATGCTCAAAATATCCTATTTTACTGTCTTTCATAGCCACTGTATTGTTTAAGATAACTACTGACCAAAATACTTGACTTAAATTACAATAAACTAAGTCTAAGTGATTTTTAGAACTGCCCTAGGAGAGCAGACTCCTAATATTTCATTGTAATCAGCCAATTATCAGAAAAGCAATTAAGAAATTGATAAGAATATTTAAATCGACTAATAAACACTTCATACAGAATATTTTTGTACATTGGGACAAATCCCAAACTTTGAATGAAACAAAGTTGGGTGTTAATGAACACCAAGGGGAGTATTATTCAGCTTTTAATAAGAAAATGTTGAATTTTGTTTTTGCATGTCATGGAAAACTCACTTAAAATAAAAAAATTATCTTATTAATGCACAATTCTACAAATTAATGTATTTTTAAATATGGAAAGAATACAAAACAAGAAAATGTTACTTAATGTACAAATCAGTAACAATGTAAAATTATTAGAGCCATTGAGGAAATCAGCAGTATATACAAAAAAAGAAAATGTTAATTAATGTATAAATCAGTAAGTAACACTGTAAAATTATTAGAGCCAATGAGGAAATAAGTAGTATACATGTATATCATAGAAATGGCTTCTAAAAAAATCAAATTTGTTTAATCTTTTGATATTTCAAATGAGATTCTGAGTCACAATACAGAAAAGAGGACATTAAATTCCACTGGGATGAACTATAGTACCTTGTTAATTAAGGTAAAAATTTAAACAATTTTAACTCTTTCAGGGTCCAGAGGCCAAATTTCAAAGTGTGAATCAGGGTCCAAGAACTTTCAAAAAATAATTTTGTTATTTTTTCTTATGAAATGGTAGAGAATATTTTTCTGAAGTTAATAAAAAAAAGTACGAAATTTGATGGAAAATTGACGAAATTATGCTCTTGCGAATTTTGATGTGTCAGAGATATTTACACATCAGCAATTTTGCCGACTTTGACTCCCATTTTAGGCCAATTACATTATTCCAGTCGACCAAATTCTTGGCTATTTCACTAGTATTACTACTATTCTATCGATTGAGCACAAGAAATTGCCAAGTCAACCGTTTCAACCACAAAATAAAGTGATCGGAAATTGGTAATTTGGCCAACTGAACGCAAAGTTCAAAATATATTCAAATTTCAAAATAGGGTCCAGAATAAACAATGCAGGCATTCCTGATACTAAACTAACATTTCCTCTGTTCATTAGTTATGTTTTCAGGTTTTACAAATGAATTTCATTTTGATTTTTTATTCACATAATGAATTTTTATTCAAACCAAAAATTAAAAGATTTACTGTAATGCAACACTGTAATAATTGTATAAATAATATCACCACATTTGTGAACATATATTAGACCCACCAGCTGGTGTGTATTAGACGTGTGAGATCATTTGTTTACTCTTGAACATCGGCAGAAATTTAACATTTCCACTACTTTGAGCTCAGTTTCAAGCCATTTCCATACTAAAACCAATCAAAATCATCTCTATTTCTGTAATATATCTTCCATTCTATCAAATGAGATCAAGAAATCGTAATTTTTTTTTTCAACAAACCGGCCGTATCCCACCAAGGTAGGGTGGCCCAAAAAGAAAAACGAAAGTTTCCCTTTTTAAATTTAGTAATTTATACAAGAGAAGGGGTTACCAGCCCCCTGCCCCCGGCATAGAAATCGCAAAGTTGCCGTTTTAATTGAAAATTATGGTCTCTTTTTTTTTTTTTCTCTCATTATGCACTGTGCTGCAGGATTTGTTTTATGTGGTGCACACATACCACATAGATGTATTCTCTCATATCTAGGCCCAAATTTACCACTCACAGCTTATCAGAGTGAGCTGAGCTCATGGCGTAGATCTACAGTTTGGATCCTCAACTCAAAGCCATAGAACTAAGGCACGGACCCTGAAAGGGTTAATCACAAGAGATATATGATTTCCCTCAATTGCTAGAACACCGTTGTGCTGTAAACTTGATCCAAATGCATAAAAATCTTGCTCTGCCCTGAGCACTGCTAGCAAGTTTTTCCTGTTCATTTCTCGGGATGCTTATCCTACCTATACTGAGCTAGTTCAGCACATGGAATGGGGTGCCAAATACCAGCTCCTTACTTCTACAATGTGAATTTTTGTAAGGCTTGAATGGAAAGCAGTTAAGTGATTGTTAGTATGCGCGCATGTGCATGTGCATGCTCACACACTCGTCTATTAATGTGGCTGCAGGGGTTGTGTCTCAGCTCCTGGCCCTGCCTCTTATCACTTGCCAAGATTCACTCCCTCCTAGCCTTGTGGGCCCTACTGTACCTGCTCTTGAAACTACATATGGAACCTGCCTCCACCACTTCACTGAGATCATTCCACCTTGACACTAAAGAAATACTTCCTGACAGCCCTGTGGCTCATCTGTGTCAACTTCCAGCCGTGTCCAAGAGTACTCATTTCTCACCTCTCAAACAACCTGTCCCTATCTACCCTATCGATTTCCCTTAGTATTTTGTGTTTTCTTATCTCCCCTGGTTCTTATATCCTCCAATGTCGTTAGACTCCATTCCATTAGCCTCTCCTCAGTTCATTCCTCTCAACTCAGGAACAGGCCTTACTGCATACTTCTCCACTTTCTTCAGTTTTTAACACACTTCCTCAGGTGGGGGTTCCATACTGGTGATACATCCCCCAAGATGAGCCTGACATTTGTTATGTAAAGTGCCCAGTAAGACTTTGTTGACATTCCTGAAAGCCACACTTGGATTTGTGTGTGTGCATGCACGTGCCTGTCTGTGTCTCACTCTGCCCAGATTTTAGTGGGTTTACCTTTCCTGTCTCTGAACATATTCCTTTTAATACTTCTGCCCAGATATGAGGAATATTTCCTCACTGATATGACCCTCATCAGCCCCAACAACACAGAAAACGTGTTTTTTTTTATACAGATATGAATGACAGACTGAGCAAACATATGGAGAAATTGTTTAAATTTTGTAATTAAAATCTATTGTTGGGTTAAACTACCAAATAAACTACTGTAATACACACACACACACACACAAAAAAAAATAATAAATATAGAAATATGCTGACTCTCTTTTACAAATATATGTATTTTGTTCATAGGGAGTAATAAACCCGTAGGAATTATACAGAGCCTTGGGAAATGGGAGGTAATCAGATGTGATCCAAGGAAAGGGAGGACAGCTTCAATTCGTTGGATCCAGAGCAAGCATTACATCATAGTCCCAAATACTTGAATTTTAACATTCACCAAATTTTGGTAAAAATTGCTTACCCAAATTTTTCTCCATCTTGTGCAAGGACTATCAGTTTTTTCTCACGTTATCATCATCACCATTCAGGGGGAAGCTATAAACTCACAGAATTCATACAGCACATGGAGATATGGGATTCAATGAAGTTTGATCCAAGGAAGGGGTGAACATGTCCAATTTCTTTTATCAAGAGCCCCTTATGAGCATCAAGGAATCTCCATTGAGTTTTCCACAATAGCTTGATACTTATACCAGAAAGTGTTTGCTCCATTCCGGTTTACTTTTATCAATCCATCCACTATATACAAGTAATTGTTCCAAACCTGGCTTTTACACTAGTAATTTAATTATATAAAAATGTGAAAGTACAAAAACTGGTTTGACTGCATGTGTATGTACTGCATTTTTAAATGCAGGAAAAAACATGAACAATATGTTGTACAGTTGAAGCCATTACAAAAGAGGATAATCTCTCTACATGTAGAGTGAATATTGGTAAAAATATGCCTACAGGAAAAGGAGAACATTATAAGTTTGATTTACCCTCATGTACTTAGAGCTTAGTGTAGGCAATTCATCATACTAAGAATGGTCTCATCTTGCTGCAAGTATCCTTTTATCATTTGCCTGGTATGTCATAATTCAACAGACTGAACACTGCAGAGCTAAGTGGTGTACATAATGCAGGCCCACACAGATGCAATAATATAACACAATTATGTATTCCCACATACACTGCTGGATGTTAGCAATGTCTTGTGTACCAGCCCATCCTCTTAATCACTGACATTATTTCACAAGTTGTAAAGACAGTCAAATGGGAGACTGATGAAGGCACCTTAACCAGTGAAAATCTAACAGTTATGTCTCCCATGCTCAGAAAGTGCCTGTTTTTCGTTCGCATGGTAGAAGTTTTGTTGCTCTTATCCTATATTGTATCTTTGTCTTTGTGGTGTTATAATTTGTTATGGAGGACAACTTAAGCTAATCTAACCAAGAAATTTGCCACAAACCTTATATGAGATATCCACACAGATGCTTATGGGAGTTAAGAGGATGGGTTGCATGTACACACTTGTCTCCATTCACAACTAACTTGCAGTTGGATGAAGAAACTTTTAAAAGATTTTGGGTCCTTCCTGGACCATTGACAAACACTAAACCTGTATGGGGGCCTCTCAGTGCCTAGAAAATGGGAGGGTAGATCCAAATGATGAACTGCCAACACATTTACAGAAAAGGCAACTTACAAAACACGCTTTTAGTAAAACAATATTTCACTCTATAGAAAGCTATATTGCTATTCCACCATGAAGAGCTATATTAATGCTCCACCTATTAAGAACCATGTCAAATGTTCTATTCTGTGTCAAACACTGTCCCTATAAAAGCTTGTACTGCAACCTGTCTTTCTTCTTCATATATGAGAGGTAATCAGTTTTGGTTCAAGGAAGTAAAAAGTAGCTTCAATTCTATATATCAAAGAGCCCTCACCTAGATCCAGATACCTCCCTTGAAAGGACATTCAACAGGGAAGGAAGAAGATAGGAGACAGAAACAAAGATACATAATACACACATGGGGGTTCTATATGAAGTAAATGCTAAGTCTTCGGGGAGAAGTATAGGACTGAAAGACAGTGAATCTTGTATGAAGTGTTAGTTGCTACAGTTGCTCAATGCCAATAATGCAATTCTTTAGGGAGGTTCTTTAAAAACAGTTGCAAAGAATGGGTTTTTAGTTTTGGAGTGTATGTAAAAGAAAATTATAAATAAATATAGAAATGAATACGGTGATGAGAGTATCAAAATCTGGATAATGAAAGATGGAATATCAGATTGAAGGGAAGGATTATTGGGAGTCAACTTGACGGCAGATGGGAGGCATCAGATTTGATCCAAAAGGGGAGGATAAGTCCAATTCCTAGAATCAAGAGCCACTCACCAGTGAACCCTAAAATAAACAAGGAGGAAAAGGGAGCTAGAGTGTTGATGCAGCTGTGGAAGGAAGCTTATCTGAAGGCAACAACACTTACATGGGTGTGAGGACTTTAGACAATGCAGCAAAAAAGGAGGCTAGAGGCTGTAGAGATGTTATGTTTGAGAGCAATGAGTGGTTTGAATAATATGTAGAGAACTTCCAGCAAGCATGCATGAGCATGTTAGATAGGATTGAATAGAGACAAATGGTTTTTGGGACCTGACAAGCTGTTGGAGTGTGAGCTGGGTAATATTTAGTGAAGGGATTCAGGGAAACCGGTTATTTTTATATAGCCGGACTTGAGTTCTGGAAATGGGAAGTACAATGCCTGCACTTTAAAGGAGGGGTTTGGGATATTGGCAGTTTGGAGAGATGTGTAATAGGATGGTATATATGTATATAATTGGGGTCCTGATATTCAATTCTATATGGAGTTTATTATATTATTTCATGTCACTTTTTATATTGTATCTTTTTATGTTTCTAAACTGTTGTATCTGGGCGCCTCTGCAAAAACAGTGACTATGTACGAGTGAAGTGAAAGTGTTGAATGATGATGAGAGTATTTTTGTTTTGGGGATTTTTTCTTTCTTTTTGGGTCACCCTGCCTAGGTGGGAGATGGCCGACTTGTTGAGAAAAAAAAAAATAGGTAAGTACACCTACCATCCAACTTACGACCTGCTCGACTTACGACCACTCGACTTACGACCGTGTTTTTTATGCCAAATTTCTGGGAAATAAACAATTGTGTTGTACACAGTGTTTATCCTAAACCTTACAGTATAAAATACATACAGTACTAACAGCATAAAAAGTAAAGTAAAACATGAAATATCAAAATAAAACAATAAAATAAAGTCATTACAAAAATGTGATATTGATATTCAGTAGTAAAGTTCGACTTACGTCCATTTCGACTTACGACCGGTTTCTCGGAACCAAACTCGGTCGTAAGTCGGATGGTAGGTGTACTGGTTTTCGAATAGTTGTGGATGCATGGAACAATTTTCCAAGTAGGGTGATAGAGGCTAGGACCTTGGGTAGCTTCAAAAAGAGACTGGACATATACATGAGTGGGAAGGGTTGGGTCTGATTGGTGTGTGGGTACGGGAGTAACTTCTTGGGTAGCTTTGGGTAGTGGTAGTTTTGATAAAGACCTAACTTGTATGGGCCAGTAGGCCTTCTGCAGTGTTCATTCTTATGTTCTTATGAGAGGGTCGAGTCCTGGCTCCTGCATTCTACCTCTAAACTCGATGAAGCAGAACAAGTGTGCAAAATTTAACTGGGTGTAGAGAGCATTAGAAAAGAAATAAGAACAGTTTCTTCTTTCCTCACAGCCATTACCTACAGGCAACAACTAGGGTTCATCAGTCTATGTCTGAGACCTGCATTTATGACAAGATTACACCAGGCATTTTTTTGAAGTATAGTACAACTTTTTTAATGACAGTATTATTTTACTGAAAAAAATAGCATAATCAAGGTACTGTGTTATGTACCGTCTCCTACAAAAGTTGAGGCATTGGTGTACAGTATATACAGTACCTGAATTTGAATGGATGGCACAAAAGACAAATATTAAGTTCATGTCCCTGAATATGAAATATTTAATGCTTATAGTCTATTTTGAAAGACTGTAAAGTGACAGTGCTCAACACTTGTGGCTTTTGACCTTGTAAAGGGCAGTACTGACAATCTAAGATAGACATACACTTCTAAATAATTTTTATCAGAAATCAGCAAGAATAAACTTTGTAGTGTTAACTAAGCATAGAAAATGTAATGAACATAACATGTTTGGCATCACAGAATTAAAACACTATAGTAAAATGCTGTCAGTGAAAACTAAAAGAACATTGATATGTATGGATCCATATATTTCCAAAAGGAAAGACAGATTAGTGATTAGTGTTCACATAAGCTTTTTCATCCCTATTTAACAGATCAATGCCACTGCAAGATCCCAATACTTGCACATCAAAACACATCACATGCATATCCCATAGGCTTTGAGAAAAGCTATTTCAATTACCACTTGGCTATGAATATTCAAATTCTTACTAACCAAACTCTTAACTTAAGAATCCTTTATCAAGGCATTGGCTGGTGCTACAGAAATGGCTCTGTATTCAGAATGGTCCGAAACCAAACTTCTTCTTTTAACAAACCAGCCATATCCCACCGAAGCAGGGTGACCCAAAATGAAAAACTTTAGTAGTGTATACAGGAGAAAGGGTTACTAGACCCTTGCTCCCGCTGAAACCAAACATGCAGTAAATATCATTTTAATATATTTTTAATCTTAATAACTGTTTCACAGAATTATAGAATTCTTAAGCCACCTGAGTACATGACAATCAACAGCCACTTACAACATTTCCTCATATTCAGTCTTAACAACTAACAAAAAATGACTTTTGTACTTTACTAGCCTAATCCCTTTGGTCTTGTTAATCAATAACTTGGAGCTACCAATGTAAAGTCCATATATCAGACAACAGAACAATAGATGCCATTATTCTAAGGGTGTATTACATTATCCTCTGAAATAAGAGGAAATAAATATGATAACCAATCATATCACTTACACTGATAATGCAGACCCCCTTTGTTACCGTTTAATACGGAGTCCACAGTAGCAAATGATATAATGAAGAAGTAGCATAAACAAGAAATTCTCCAAATCTCTCAAGTCATAAGTTATTTTATGTGGAGCTCTGAAAATACAAGAGATACTAAAACTATACAATGCATGCTGTACATTTAGTTATGGGGTACTGTTTCACTTTTGCAGGGAATGGTTTACATATTAAACAGCAAAAAAAAATCTTTTAAATAATTAAGATTAAGGGTAAGTACTAAAAGGAACATGTTACTATCCTAAAGACTATCGGTGTCATTAAGTGCCTATGTGATTTTAAGATCATAAATTCTACTTGTATTGTGGAAGATTTAGGCTAGAAAAAGGCTAGAGTACAAGAATAATCCAAAACACTAACTCCCTATAAACTCACCTATTCTGTATTTACAAAGTCGACAAAACTTTCTCTGGGTGAGCATTTTTAATATGTTTGTGAAGATAGCCAATACGCTTTGCCTTAAAGCCACAATGCGGACATTTATGAGGTGTCTCAGTAGAATGAGTTTGGATGTGACGCTTCATACAATCGGGCCGATGACTGGTAAAACCACAAAGATGACATTTATGAATCACTGCATGCTCTTCTTTCTTGTGTTCAAGCAATGCTTTATAGGTCTCACAGAAATAATCACATTGTTCACATTTGTGTGGCTCATTGGTATGAGTGTGAATGTGTCGGTCTAAGTTCTCTTTCCTCTGATATGAGCGCTTACAGAAGTGGCATTTATATTGTTCTATAGGCTCAGAGGAGATGTGGTCAATTTTTACCTCGGTGATATTTGTTGGGACCTGCACAAAAGTAAAATGGAAAAGCAGTTAGTTTCAACTTTAAAGGATAATTTTAATACACAAACTTTACCAATGCCTCACAAGACCATAGGTATAGTATTTGTAAACTGGGAATACCTGAACTGAATTCTGACTTTACACTGAAAATTTATTTTTGACTTCCATATGAAAATTGAGATACATAGTTCTAAATTATATTCTTACCTTACAACAGGCACACTTGTACAAACCTTTGCAAATATAGGTGCCTTGATGCCAGTGAAGAGCTATTGATCCAAAGAATCTGACCTGCTTACTTCCTTAGATCAAGCCTCATTACCTTCTATTCCCCAGGAATGGTATGACCCCTACGGACTTAATGTTTCCCATGAAAAATAATAATAAATTAATAAATAATAATAACAGCAATAAAAAAATAATAAATATAAAAAACTAAGAAAAATAAAAATACTGTAGTAGTAATAATAATAATAATGTAAAAAACCTACCCTTGAATACTGAGCATCTGACTGGGAGGAAGTAGAAGTCTCAGCAAATTCCCCTGGAAATGCGTACAGATTCTCGCTTGTGTCCTGAAAGGGATAGCAAGTGATCTTAAATATTTACAAAAATCATGCAGTTATAAAAAATTATAGAAAAAATATTAAGAAAGCAAAGTCACCGGAATGTTGATTCATTCATTCATTAGAGGTTCGCTGGTACTTCCGGCCCGGGTCTTCTCCATATGGTGACCGGAATGTTGATATTTGAGAGTTAATAATATGGCATTATGAATTACTTTAACCCTTTCAAGGTTCCCAGGCCCTCTCCCAGACGTTCTCAGGGTCACCCAAATTTCAAAAAAAAAAAAAAAAAAAAAAAAAAAAAAAAAAAAAAAAAAAAAAAAAAAAAAAAAAAAAAAATCTTATGAAAAGATAGAGAATCTTTTCCTGATCATAATGACACCAAAAGTATGAAATTTGATGGAAAACTTACGGATTTATGCTCTCGCGAAGTTAGCGGTCTTGACGATGTTTATGCATCGGCTATTTTGCCCACTTTGAGCCCTATTTTCGGCCAATTCCAATGTACTAGTCGACAAAAATCATAACTATTTCACTAGAACTCCATTTTTTCTATTGAATGAGTACAAGAAACCACCCATTTACTGATTTCAACTATCCAATACAGTGGTCAGAATTTAGCAATTTTGCCAATTTCACACAAATTTCAAAAGATGCCAATTTCCAAATAGGGTCCAGAATAAACAAGAAAGACATTCCTGGCACTAAAATAACATTTCCTCTGTTCATTAGTCACGTCCCCATGCCCCTCTTACATTCTTTTGCTTTCCACTTTGAATTTTTATTCTCACAAAAAAATAGAAGATTTACTGTTATGCAGACTACTGCATTAGTGTAGAAATGGTATAAATAATATCAGCGCACTTGAGAAAGAATATTAGACTCACCAGTTGATCTGTATTGGACGTTTAGCATGATTTGTTTACTTTTTGAACTTTGGTAAAAATCGAACATTTCTGCTACTTTGAGCTCAATTTCAAGGTACTTTTCATTGTAAAACCAGTCAAAATCATCTCAATTTCGGTAATATGTCTTTCATTCTATAAAATGAGACCAGGAAAACTAGAATACAACAATAAATACCATACGAAAATACAGTGCAAATTCGCTGCTTTAATCCAAAAACACGGTCAAAGTTTTTTTTTTCTCATTACACACTGTGTGCTGCAGGATTTTTTTTATGGTGCACACACTGACCACATAAACCCATTCTTTCATATGTAGGCCTACCAGCTTTCTCTCACTAGATTTGAGGGTGCTAGAATTTAGGCGTACTAGTACGTCAAAAACCCTGGTGCCTAAGTTGTACTAGTACGTCCGAAACCCTGAAAGGGTTAAAAGAAAAAAAAAATCAAATCAGAGAACAAACTGCATTACTGTGGATATACATCAAGTCAAAATCCATGATAAACACTACTTTACCAGATTGCTCAATGCAATCCCTGCAATGGCTTCATAAAAGTACACAACTAAAGCAAGCAGCAGATTGTCGAGACTTGGGATAAATACAGTGAACCTTCAATGTAGCAGATGTAATAGGAGGGAGGGATTGTCCATTAAATCTGAATTAAGAGAATGTTTTTGTATGATCGTGATAGTAACAGACAATACTGGATTAAGTGGATTTAGTCTGTTAAATCCCCCCAAAAAATTACCCAGCAGACTAAAACTTAGTTCATTAAATTCGAAGTCAATTTACTAAGCAGACCGTAGGAAAAAAAAAAAGAAGAAACAAATTTGGATTTAACGGATTTTGTCCGTTGCTTCCAAATTTTGTCTGGTCACAGGTTTTTGTCCATTAAATCAGAAAACTGTTGTTGTGCTTACGACAACATCAATATGTATATGGTATACTGTACTGTATACAGTATACCTGTATACTGTATTGAAGCTCTCTATACATATTTAATATGTACACATTATTCATTGGTACTACTACAGTACCTGTATTTGCAACTGAAAAGGAACAATGACTGTGAATTATTATTGTACTGTATATTTGAAAACAAGTTCTAAACCTGTACAGATAATACAGAGCAGTGGCAAAAGGGAGTGTAAGGTTAAAGGGGTAAGTTGATAAGGTGAATACAAAAGGTTATCAATCATCAGCTCACTACATTCCACTGCAATATAAATTTTTGTAAGGATTAACAACAGCATCTCCTGCACCTTTTATTCACAGTACTTTGCTCTAATACTGTATGATCCATATGAATTTGGAGCTTGTTTTCAAATGCAGTATAACAATAGTGGTAGAATACTGCATATACAGCTTTCATTAACAAAAGGTTTATAAAAAAATTACCACAGGGTGAAGTGTTACAGTCTCTTCTTGTGCCGTCTTGCCATCATACGATGGTCGGAGGTTCACGAGGCTGTCCAAAAGGTCAGGAATTTCCACTGATCCATCCTCAGGATGTGCTTCAAGTATCTGTGATCTATTTGCACCGATATACATTTTACTTCTTGAATAACTTTGTCAACGGGTGTCAGGGATGGGGACATTTTCACTTCCTGAGTGTGTTCATGAGATGGCAGATCTGAAGGGCTCTGATACTGTGGTGTGGGAGAAGGCTGATGATTATTTAGGGTTAAGCTCAACTGGGTATGCGGCAAGGTGTCCAGCCGTTGCAAAGTGTGAGGTGGCACTGGTGAGAGCGAACTGTTTGTAACTGGGGAAGTCTGGGGCTCAGATTTTGGGGAAAAATGTTGAAAATGGTGAGACTGGGAGATATCATTGGGTGTATCAACAGCTAGGGGTAAATTTATCTCTGTAGTTAACTCAGATTCTGATTTTATAGGATGAGGAGATGGTACATGAGGATTAGAATTATCAGGAGGGTGTGTTGGAGGAGAAAGGTGCTTCTGGGAAATTGTTGGCAATCTCTTACGAACAGCTGTTCGTTTCCTCTTTTTGGCAGGTCCATTCAAATCTGTAGGTTTCACCGATAACCGTGTTCCAATATTATCATCATCAACCATCGATAGTCCTCGAATCCTGAGGCACTCTGCAGCATGAATGATACCCTGAATCTGTGTTTCCAACACATTGACTTCTCCAATATACATGAAATCCAGAATAGCCTCAAGTTCCTTGCAGGAAACATTGTTGAGAACCACAACAGGATTCAAACAAGGAGTCCACTCAAAAATAGCATTGAAATAATCACTGCAAGTTGATAGTACAAATTTGTGCACTGGATAAAATTGTCCTTCACATGCTAAGGTTGCATCCGTGTAACCACTCTGTAAAAAATGAGAAATTCCCTTCAAAAACAGAATGCAAATACAGTAATATTCATACTACCCCCTCCCCCCACATACACACGCATGCATTAGTAGGTGTGCGAGCACACTAATTTTCCACATTTTTAACCCAAAACAATATTAGATAACAATTTTTTAATTTTAATTTTAAGCAAGACAATGATGATTCACTAGAGCAAAATTTTTGCCTTAATTTAGCTAGTTTCAGGTTAAAATAAGTAAAAGTTTCCAGCAACACTGAGAAAACCATAAAAAATGCTCCATGTACTAATATATTCAATGATTTTTTATCTACTATATCAAATGTCTCCCAACAAGGTAAGTTGATCCAAGGAAACACACATACACCATCATTCATTCAATAACTATCTTGCCATGTGTGCAGACATCACAGATGAATTACAATCTGAACTTCAACTCCAACATCCCCACTCTTGCTTCAGAGTACAAGAACTGTACTCTGAGGCAAGTTCCCTTGAACCCTATCAAAAATAGAATTACTGTACTTATTGAATTACTTTTTTCTAAAATTTCAAACCGGATGTATTGCAAATTGTACCTTTCCACGCAAGCTTCCAATGGCCCGGCAGAAGATCTGTGAGTGTTCCATCCATTGTAGTGCCAGCAAATCACCATCCACCTCTTCCTGCAACACATTTTATGATTATAAACCTCAGGAAAATTAATGAGCACTTAAGAAGACCAATGCAAGAACTTTTCACTAACAGTTTTCAATATTTCTGTCAGATAAAGCATCAAGTTTGTAACAAACTTGTCCACTAATTTTTGCAACTTCTCTTCAGAATCTCTCAAAAGAAATGCATTTAAAGGAGTAATTGTGACAATTCCCACTTCATGTGACTCACTTCTCACTCCCACACCTCTTCCCCAACCATGGTGACATTACACATACATACATGTATTTCTTTTACTGGAAAATAGTCACCTCTTCTATAAACCCTAACCTGAGCCTCACTTTCTGCATAAAAAAAAAAAGTCTTTAATGCTTTTAATAACCTTCAAAATATTCCAAACATCTGCAACATCTACAACACTGATTCCCTATCCTCCCTATCATATGCTTTATCTAACGGTAACACTACTAATATATTTATACACAGTTTATATTTAATAAACAGTGGTACCCAGAGTTTCGTACAGCTCCCAACTCGAACAATTATGTAAGTATATTATTGTAAGTGTTTTTTGTAAGCGTATTTTTGGGGGTCTGAAATGGACTAATCTAATTTACATTATTCCTTATGGGAACAAATTCATTCGGTAACGGCACTCGAAAAGCCTTCTGGAACGAATTATATGGCCGAAACTCGGGGTACCACTGTACAAGTCAAATCAACACTGCAAATATAGTGGGAACAGAAGTAGATAAGGTCATCCTTTTCCCACCATAATTTAAAGCCAAGAATGGGGTATTGGTTGAGTTCTTCAAGTGGGCATTCAAAATCTTCAGTGAAGAATTCCTGAAAAAGGAATTAAATTATAGTAGTGTCCATCAAGAACACCTTCACTAGTCTTAAATTTCCTCCATATATATTTCTACTCTGCAAACATAAGGCTGAAGATGTACACTGCAACATCAGGAGACAAGATAACATATGAAGGTGCAGATCACTCACAGGTATTGCCAGACACTGTGTACCCCATCCTCCAGAATCCAGCAATGACATCTCTGTAGCCTCCACAAAAGCCACATGAGATTCACAAGGACCTTGACTAAATACACTGCTCCCAAGAATGCAAAAGTGTAGAAAATTTTGTATGGAGGTGACAACAGGGTATACATCAGTGAGACAACTAGAAGTCTACCAGTCCATCTACAGGAACACATGATTGTTCTTCATACAAATACTACTTCAGCTCCTACATACAGCATCACAATTCACATTCACACTTCATGGCATAGGAAAAGCTGAATTTCAATACCAGGAATACTACAGAGGATATGATGCTATGTACATTTGGTATGTACATACTTGACAAAGCCCAGTGTTGGGTGAATTGCTGTACAAATAAAGATCTCTGCATTTGTATCTTTCACCAACTGTCAGCTACTGCCACATTCTCCAACAACAGCACTACCAGATGCACCAGTGGATTGGTAAAGTCATCAACAGACATAATTTGTGGAAGAGAGGCATCACGCTCCAGTTCAAGACAGTTTTAACTGTGATCTAATAAGGGTCTTCGGGGCAAGGGAGGTATACTAATTTGGAAAGAGGTAACTTTCCATGCTGAAGTTAAGCATCACTGCTGCCTTAGTTGATAAAGATCATGTTTCTGGTTCAATCAGGGTCAGTTCCAATTTTCACAATCTATTTAGAGAAATATTCATCAGTGACTAAGAAAAAGTCTTATGGTCTTATGTGCAAGGGTTTGGATTGATTTGTCCGAGAATATTAACACCAACAAAGACCTTCCTTTTGCTGATTCAATTTTCAATCTACCTGGAGTCTTGTTTTGGGAGTGACCAGCCCTGTAGCTTGTTACTAGACCAGGCCTCCTGACTGCTTGTCAGATCAACCAGGCTGTTAGTGCCAGCCATGCACAGTCCAACGCCTGCACCACAGCCTGGCTGATCAGGGACTGAATATGAATCTATCAAGTGCCCTCTTGAAAATAATCACCATTTTATTGGCAATTGTCCCTTATGCTCAGTGTGCCACACCTTTCACTGTCTGCCAAACCTCTTGCTTTCATGTGGACAGACTTTAATGTGCAAGTTCAGGCCTCTTGCTTTCACATGGAGGGACTTTAATGTGCAAGTTTGGGGCCAAACCCTTCAGAATTTTTACAGTGTAGATTATGACATTTTTTTCCATCTAAGTTCCAAGCAGTACAGTTCAAGATATTTTAAGCATTCCAGTACTTAAGATGTTCATTGGGATATCAAGTTCTTCATATGTTTAGTATTTCTGGTGGCACATGGACATCCTATGATAATCCTCATCATTTTGTTCTACAATTTTTCAAGACCTTAGAGCTTTATATCTAACTCAAGAGCAAGCAGGGGCACAACAGAGTCAGTTTGTGATCTTGATATACAAATAACCCTCACATAGGAGACCGAAATTTTTGATAATGTTCTAATCTGACTTGGACCATTAATTAGTCACTCCGAAGCGCTTCTGAGTGACTAGTTAATGGTCCAAGTCAGACTGAAACATTGTAATAAGTTTCAGTTTCCTATGTGCAGGTCATGTGTGTATTGTTCTAGTCACAGTATTGTGCCTTTTAATTCTTTGTGATCTTGATGCAAGCAAAATACACCACTTTCACTGTACTCCCATTAGCACTATACCCGAATGAAACTATCACTCAACTTTGTATTTGCAATAAAATTAGTCCGCAAGTCCAAATAGAGGGGCCTCAAATCTGAGATACAGAGGTATCTGCATCTGGTCACATATCTGAGAGACCCATCATGCAACTGGATCCTATGGACTGTGCCTCTCTCTAGGGGAGGACACCTATTATGCATCTTCATTTCCAATGCAAAGATTATCAACTGAAGGTCCTGACACTGTCCCCAGGTAGTATCACTAAGGCAAGACATTAGGTAGCTTAGTAAGTTTATTTAGGTACAGGTACACAAAAGTACAATTATCATACACTGTAAATTACCTAGGATAACCCAAAAATGTCAGACAGTAACTTGTTTGGGTTATCCTATGTAACAATTGTATGACAATTGTACTTACGTGTACCTTTACCTAAATAAACTTACTAAAGCTACCTAAATACATGTATAGGAATGCGTATGTGTGTGACTGTGGTTGGGGGAGGGTTGTATCTGCCTAGCATGGACCAATAGGCCTATTGTAGTGATCATTCCCATTTATGTTCTTATGAATTTAAACCATAGTTAAACACATTTTGAATGTTGAAAAATCTGGCAATGTGCATTATTGCTGTATAGTCCTTGTGGCTTAGCGCTTCTTTTCTGATTATAATAATAATAATGTGCATTATTATATGATCAGTAAAGCCACACATATAACGACTGAGCTGCCTTGGGACAGCATTTAGGAAAATCAATTATTAGGATACTAAATAAGGTTGAACTAAAGACACCTTGTGGGGTTCCTAATTCATAATACTTACAAAAACAAATAATTCATTTCTTTTCTGCAGTATACAGGCAATGTAGTTTACATATAATAAAATATTGCTATGCACAAAAGAAAGCCACCAGTATGCAGTGCATTCAGCTCACTCAACTCACACACTGAGATTCGTGGTTCGATCCCTGGTACAAGTGGAAACATGGGGGGGGAGCGTGTTTCCTTAACACACTTGCTGTCCATGTTCACCTAGCAGTAAATAGGTACCTGGGTGTTAGTTGACTGGTGTGGGTCGTATCCTGCGGACAAAATTAACCAAATTTGCCCGAAATGCTCTGCATAAAAAAGGTCTTTCTATATAGTAGTATGTCATTGATGTCAGCTAGGCCTGCATACCTTGTACATGTATGTACTTGTAGTAAATAAAGATTATTATTATTATTATTATTATTATTATTATTATTATTATTATTATTAAGACTGCTTATGAACTAGGCATGGGTTATTAAGTTACAAGTTTTAAATATGAGTTTTAAATATACAAAAAGAGAGGTAAATAAGTGAACAATTGTATCATTTTATGTATTAATACTTCAATATATAATTCAGTAACAGAAACCAGATTCAGTAAGTTTATTTAGGCACAGGTACACATAAGTACAATTATCAGTGTAAATTACTTAGGATAACCCAAAAAGTCAAAGTGATTTATTTCCATTGGGCCCCAAATTAACTAAATCATCCTATTTGACTGTGTTAGGTTATCTTGGGTTAGATTATCATCCTTAGTATGCTTGTAAAAATAAACTGTTTAATGCAGACATCGCAAAAATACGAAATAATTTGAAGAATTATCATGGGAAAGTCTAATTCTTACTAATAACTGACCAAACAGGGACACATCAAAGATATTTTAAGTTTACTTAGGCACAGGTACACATAAGTAGAATTATCATAGTGTAAATTACCTAGAATAAAAAAAAAAAAAGTCAGTGACTTATTTCCATTGGGGTCCTTGTAATATCTTATTATTCAAACCTTAAAAGTTAAAACAACTAACTCAACTGCAATATATATTATAATCAAACATCATTTAGATCGTGAACCATCATAAATGCTTAAAATAATGAGTATAAATTACCTTTATAGACGCCATAAGAGCTTAGCGGCCTCCCTCGTGCTGGAAGACTTACTCACAAAAACGAGCAATAAGAGGAGTCAGCCCGGCCTACACTGCACAATTATCACCTGGCGTGGTTGTCGTGCTCTTGCAACACTACCTCACTGCAGAATGCACTTGCAACAACACTCGGGGACACCAAGTTACAAAAATTAACAAAAAAACATGCTTTCAAGAAATGCTCTATGACTTCATTTGTTTATAAACAATGTGGCGACATCTGTTGCTTAACACCATCACTGTTCTGGGCGCCCTACTTGAATACTTAATAATAATTATCATCTTTATTTCTACAAGTACATGTAAAATGTATACACACCTAGATGACATCAATGACATACTATATAGAAAACGCCTTGTTATGCAAAGCATTTCGGGGAAATTAGGTCAATTTTGTCCCCAGTTTTAAAGTGTATGTCATTGATATCGTAATTACAAAGAAAGTAAAACTATTGAAAGTCAATTTTTCACAATGAGAACCTTCATAACTAAGGACGCCAAGTCCATGATGATTCTCTTCTCTCTAGGCTGGGACACTACTGTACACTAACTGCCCCCTTCAAGGCTGGCAAAATTGCTGACCTGGAGAATGTACAAAGAACTTTCACAGCACACATAAGTACGATAAAGCACCTAAATTACTGGGAACGGTTAAAGTCCCTTGATTTGTATTCCCTGGAGCGCAAGAAAGATACATGATAATATACACTTGGAAAATCCATGAGGGATTAGTACCAAACTTGCACACGAAAATCACTCCCTACGAAAGCAAAAGACTGGGCAGGAACTGCAACATCCCCCCAATGAAAAGCAGGGGCGCCACGAGTACACTAAGAGACAACACAGTAACTGTCAGGGGCCCAAAACTGTTCAGTTTCCTCCCAATATACATAAGGGGGATTGAAAATTTAGACACATGTGCAACACCTGGGGTATCTTTATCGTAGACGTTTCGCCATCCTGGCTGTCTTCAAGAAGGCGCTGGACAGGCACCTAAAGCCAGTACTTGACCAGCCGGGCTGTGGTTCCTACGTCGGTTTATGTTCGGCCAGCAGTAACAGCCTGGTTCATCAGACCCTGATCCACCATGAGGCCTGGTCTCAGATCGGGCCGCGGGGGCATTGACCCCCGAAACCCTCTCCAGGTATACTCCAGGATGCGACCCACACCAGTCGACTAACACCCAGGTGCCCATTTTACTAACAAGTGAGCAGGGACAACAGGTGTCTTAAGGAAACACGTCCTAATGTTTTCACCCGTACCAGGGATCGAACCCCGGACCTCAGTGTGTGAGCTAAGTGCGCTACTAATCGAGCTACGGACACCTTTGAGATAATCAGTCCCTCAGCCTGGAGGATGAGGGACTGATTTCCCCAAACTCCTCACTTTCACCTCTTCTTTCCACCCGAGTAGCGTCACTGAAGATTAAGGCACTTATGCAACATATGGGAATCTTTGAGGAAATGTTTCGCCACACAGTGCCTTCATCAGTCCAATACAAAGAAAGGTGTAAGGAGAGAAGTTTGAGGTAATCAGTCCCTTAGTCTGGAATCGAAGTGCTCAGTCAATCAGTCTTGTAGAAAGTATAGCATATGGCCGGAGAAGTGGCTTATATACTGCAGTCAGGTGAGTGGAAGCAGGAGCAGGTGGGATCACAGTGGGACCATCCACTAGTGTAAGTCTTCTACTTTCCAATAGTTTTCTTCTCTGTATTGGACTGAAGAAACCACTGGCTGGCAAAACGTTTCCGTAATAAAAAAAATCCCAAATGTTGCACAAGTATCTCATTCTTCACCTTCTCACGGTATATACACCAACAAGTGTATTTCTCTCTGCCTGTATATGCCTGGGAGTTATTTTAATCCATATTTTAGCTATTCAAGTGTTTTTGACTGGCGGTGAAAAGGTTACTTGCTGCTATAGTTAGTTGGTTAATGGGGTTTAAATCCTGTCGACTACATGATGATCATTAAGGCTGCATGTAACCTTTTTACTACCAGACAAAAATACTTGATCCTAAAATAGGAATTACAGTTAACTCTCAGCCTATATAAACATATATGCATCTTTAATAACCCTCGTGTAATAACGTTGGTGGAATTACCGACAATATGTTAGGTAAAATATACAAGTGCATCTAATGTGATATTTTATTGTGGCAACGTTTCGCTCTCCAGGAGCTTTGTTAATTAAGTCGTAACGGCTTGACAAAGCTCCTGGAGAGAGAAACGTTGCCGCAGTAATATGTGATGTCCCGTAGCTCGATTGCTAGTGCACTCAGCTCACACACTGAGGTCCGGAGTTCGAATTTCCTCCGGTACGGCTGAAAAACGTTTCCATAAGACACCTGCTGTCCCTGTCCCTATTCACCCATCAGTTTAAAATGGGTACCTGGGTGTTAGTAGACTGGTGTGGGTCGCATCCTGGGACAAAACTGACCTAATTTGCCCGAAATGCTCAGCATAACAAGGGGCTTTCTATATAGTAGTTTGTCATTGATGTACATGCATTTGTAGAAATAAAGATATTATTATTATTATTATTATTATTATTATTATTTATTATTATATTATATTATTATTATTATTATTATATTATTATAATATTATTATTATTATTATTGATTAGATTTGACTTTGTACCTTTTATCTACTCAACCCTCGCGTAGTTGATGGTGTTTTACACCCCATAAAACCCAACAAATACTCTAAATTAATAATAAATATATCTATTGCCTCATGATACAATACTTTTTTTACATAATGGTGCATTTATATTTAATAATTTCCGTAGAAAGCACCTGTTATATACATTTCAAGGGTAAACTACCCTAATTTTTAAAGATGATGTAAGCCATGGAAGGCTCAGTCAAACGACAAAACCTCAGTATGCAGGTCTCTATTACGAAGACCCGCTCTTTCCTGAAGGAACTTATCACCTAGTATAATGCAAGCCTTTATAGCTCACATATGTATTGCCTATTTATCAGTTTATTTACTGGAAACATAGCAATGGTGTACGCTTAATTAATAACAAGAAGCTAGGTACCCTTAAGGTTAAACAACAGGACCTGCAATGAGGGTACGAGTTAATAGATTAATCCAAAGGAAGGCACTAGGTCAGGTTTGATCAAGATTTAACAGACACTGAGTACCAGGTCTAGTTAACAGAGCACTGAAGGGTACGTAAGATAACATAAGCACTAGGGTACCAATGGTTAAGATTAACAGGAAGCACTGAGGGTACCAGGTTAAGATTAACAGGAAGCACTGAGGTCCAGTGTAAGATTAACAGAAGCACTGAGAGTAATAGGATAAGATTAACAGGAAGCACTGAGGGTACCAGGTTAAGATTAACAGGAAGCACTGAGGACCAGGTTAGATTAACAGGTAAGATGGATACATTAGATTAACAGGAAGCACTGAGGGTACCAGGTTAAGATTAACAGGAAGCACTGATGGGTACCAGGATTAAGATTAACAGGAAGCACTGAGGTACCAGGTTAAGATTAACAGGAAGCACTGAGGGTACCAGGTTAAGATTAACAGGAAGCACTGAGGGTACCAGGTTAAGATTAACAGGAAGCACTGAGGGTACCAGGTTAAGATTAACAGGAAGCACTGAGGGTACCAGGTTAAGATTAACAGGAAGCACTGAGGGTACCAGGTTAAGATTAACAGGAAGCACTGAGGGTACCAGGTTAAGATTAACAGGAAGCACTGAGGGTACCAGGTTAAGATTAACAGGAAGCACTGAGGGTACCAGGTTAAGATTAACAGGAAGCACTGAGGGTACCAGGTTAAGATTAACAGGAAGCACTGTGAGTACCAGGTTAAGATTAACAGGAAGCACTGAGGGTACCAGGTTAAGATTAACAGGAAGCACTGAGGGTACCAGGTTAAGATTAACAGGAAGCACTGAGGGTACCAGGTTAAGATTAACAGGAAGCACTGAGGGTACCAGGTTAAGATTAACAGGAAGCACTGAGGGTACCAGGTTAAGATTAACAGGAAGCACTGAGGGTACCAGGTTAAGATTAACAGGAAGCACTGAGGGTACCAGGTTAAGATTAACAGGAAGCACTGAGGGTACCAGGTTAAGATTAACAGGAAGCACTGAGGGTACCAGGTTAAGATTAACAGGAAGCACTGAGGTACCAGGTTAAGATTAACAGGAAGCACTGAGGGTACCAGGTTAAGATTAACAGGAAGCACTGAGGGTACCAGGTTAAGATTAACAGGAAGCACTGAGGGTACCAGGTTAAGATTAACAGGAAGCACTGAGGGTACCAGGTTAAGATTAACAGGAAGCACTGAGGGTACCAGGTTAAGATTAACAGGAAGCACTGAGGGTACCAGGTTAAGATTAACAGGAAGCACTGAGGGTACCAGGTTAAGATTAACAGGAAGCACTGAGGGTACCAGGTTAAGATTAACAGGAAGCACTGAGGGTACCAGGTTAAGATTAACAGGAAGCACTGAGGGTACCAGGTTAAGATTAACAGGAAGCACTGAGGGTACCAGGTTAAGATTAACAGGAAGCACTGAGGGTACCAGGTTAAGATTAACAGGAAGCACTGAGGGTACCAGGTTAAGATTAACAGGAAGCACTGAGGGTACCAGGTTAAGATTAACAGGAAGCACTGAGGGTACCAGGTTAAGATTAACAGGAAGCACTGAGGGTACCAGGTTAAGATTAACAGGAAGCACTGAGGGTACCAGGTTAAGATTAACAGGAAGCACTGAGGGTACCAGGTTAAGATTAACAGGAAGCACTGAGGGTACCAGGTTAAGATTAACAGGAAGCACTGAGGGTACCAGGTTAAGATTAACAGGAAGCACTGAGGGTACCAGGTTAAGATTAACAGGAAGCACTGAGGGTACCAGGTTAAGATTAACAGGAAGCACTGAGGGTACCAGGTTAAGATTAACAGGAAGCACTGAGGGTACCAGGTTAAGATTAACAGGAAGCACTGAGGGTACCAGGTTAAGATTAACAGGAAGCACTGAGGGTACCAGGTTAAGATTAACAGGAAGCACTGAGGGTACCAGGTTAAGATTAACAGGAAGCACTAGAGGGTACCAGGTTAAGATTAACAGGAAGCACTGAGGTACCAGGTTAAGATTAACAGGAAGCACTGAGGGTACCAGGTTAAGATTAACAGGAAGCACTGAGGGTACCAGGTTAAGAT